CTTGACTTTTTGTTTTCAGATTAGATTTCTATCTTTTAAAAACGTAAAATTAGGATTAAAACAAAGTTCAGTGCATCTAAGAGTCATGTATGTAGTGCAGTGAAGAAATACCAACATATAATTAATCACTGAACTCAAATTTTAGCTTAAAGAGTAGAATGGGATACTTGTAATAAATACAGTAATACAGTTGTAATAAATACAGTTTTAAAATAGGTATGTTGATAGGTGTATCTTCTTTCTCTAGCATCAGATTCACTTAAAATTCCATACTAGTAGAAAATCTGAAATAATTGGAAATGTTTTTATGAATGGAATGTTAAACATTTGTTTTAATGTATTTGATTTTGATATATTTAAACGATAGGTAATGTATGTTAAATATAGTTCTGGTTTTCAAACAGATAAAATTAGAACATCTCTTTCTTTCATAAAGGTCACAATTTCAGTTTGTATTGTTTGTTTCTGTACAGTTATTGAGTTTGTATTACTTGCTTTTTTTATGATCCTGAACAGTGTTTTTTGTTGTGTGCATTTATAATTGTCCAGATACATTTGCTCAGGCTACATAAAGAATTTCCACATTTAAATGTGTTATACAGTTTTACTGTTTGAGTGTTTTAAATAAAACTTGCCAAGCCAAAAAAAAGTTGATAGCAAAACCCATCAGCATTGTGAAAGTGTAAATATTACATAACTGTTCCATATAGAAGGATGAAAATAATTGTTCAAGTTCACGCAATGTTTGATCCATGCGAGTTAGAAACAGATTATTTCTTCGATACTACAGAGTATCAAGCATGTGTAGTTTATACCGCTTGACCAAACAGTGTTGTTTTGATGGTTTCATACATACTGTATTTCACTGTTTTAAATTACTGAGGGCTCTTTATTACAAAAAAAAAAAAGATATTATTTTCTCCAGAACTCCGAAGTTTATGTTTAGTTTCTTTTGGAACAGCCACAAAATATTACCTAGAAACAATTATGTGAAATATTTGATGAAACGAGTTTGGCATAACCAGCCACACCCAGTTTCAAGCTCAGTTCTGTTCATTAATATCTACTTTCAACAGCATACAAAACGTTATATACTAATTTCTTTCTATTTGATTATATTTTACTGTTTCAGAAATTGAGAATATAACTCTCATTATTTTAATGGAAACTGTTGCCACTTTATTTTCTCTTATTTTATTTATTTCTAAAAAACGGAGCTAGATTGATTATCCTGTGCCCTATCTGAATTCCAGGATTTTGCCAGATGCAAACTGTAAACAAGAGCCCTCTTTTCTTAATAAAATGAAGCTGAATAGTTTGATGGAAAGTTTTAATGTATGCATATATTGAATAAAAACTTTGTTGTGACTTTAAACTGACTGAGAACGATGAACTTGTATTTTAGAGGTTGTGTAGTCTGATAACTAAGGAAACTTATGTTTTGAATGAAAAAAAAGTGTTAACTACATAGACATTA